GAAGGAATGTATACAGTGTTATTTAGTTTATAGGCTATCAAAAAACAGGCAGAACTAATCTGCAGTGATAGAAAATCCAAAAAAAATCAGTAAGATTGCCCCTTACATGACAGGCGATGGATAGGAAAATGGTTTGAGGGAACTTTTTGGATGCCTGGGACTGTCATGTATCTTGTCTTGTGTGGTTGTTACATGGGTATGTACAATTGTCAATATCTCTCACACTGCACACTGAAGATCTACGCACTTTACTGCATGTGAATTATACCTCAACCCTCTGCCGTGCCAACAAAAAGACTGTAAGAAAATACCATCCTTTGATAATGCAGATAGGTAAATATATCGTAAACAATTATTCTCTGCATTTTCTTGAATTTACAAAACCCTCTAAAGTATTTTAAAGTTAAAAATTTATTAAATATATCTAAGTCAAATAAATACTTCCTGCTCACAGGGAATTTGCAAAATAATGCAGTCAGACAAGTAAATAAATGTTTGCAGTTCTCAAGGTTCATTATAACAGCACAGACTATTTCTCAGCTTCCTGAGGTACAGTGTGCTTGGAATACATAATGCTGGATCTGAAACAGGAGACATTTCAAAAACCCTAAGGGGCTTACTTTGGGATGTGACTATGGGGTACTACAGCACCTGGACCTTTGTCTTGGGCCACCAACATTTATAGGAAGCAAATAATAGTAATAATAAATATTTTTACGTTTGTTCCTGCTAAACGATATGACATTTCCATGTTTACAGTGTACGCCCCCTTTCAGTAGCTCAGAAACAAGTGAGCTCAGCACCTAGCTGCAAAAATAACTAGTAAAAATAGCGACCAGATGGCAACCGCTGATAATAGCACTGCCTGAAAGCCACATCACAGAGCACACAGGTGACGAGTTTGCTTTTCATTCTGCTTGTCCTTGGGCTCTAAAAATACCCTGCTCTGAACTCAAAGGTCACATAGTGATTGCTTTTCACTCTAAACTAAATGTGTCAACAACTGAGTTCCAACTAATGAGGGAGAAGAACCCCTAAACATCAAAATTGTACAGAGTGTGTTTTTGCTGGTTCTAGAATACTTGCCTTCATTGAATAACAAATGGAGGTGTTCAGTTGACTAAATGCCACTTCACTTCTGTTCCCCTGCAGATTTCAAATACTGTCCCAGGTTGAAGTCACATCAGCAGAGAACTTAAGGAGCATTGTTTCCGTGTCTATGAAATAGTTTTCATTGAACTTGATAGTATTAGATTGGTTTTAGCGATGGCACTGAGGACATTGCCCACATCATATGGTCTCAGGCATAAAGATCACAGTTGGGGAAACAGAGCTACCTCTGAACAGTGTGGTGCTCACACATGAATCCTTCAGTAGACTATGATCTCCTCTTTGCTTTGACCACTAAAAAACTCAGAATCACATTTGCAATCTAGTTCTAGCAATTTTTCATAAACTTATTTATGATTTATTTTTATCTATTTTATCATGATATATTACTGTGTTCTTTCTGTTAGCTTTCTGGTAGCCTTTCTGGAGAAAATAAGATTACAAATAATTAAATTTACAAATTTGTCAGTCATATGGCTATTTTTATTTATTTCTATACATACTTAGTTCTAAAGATAATTTTAAATGTCACCATCAGGGTATAGCTAAAAAAAGTTGAAGCTCAGATTGCATTTATATCAGTTTCATTTTGTTTCATGGGGATATTGCATAGGTACAGACCATTTGGGTGAATGCCTAAGAGAGACCTAAAAGAATAAACTGCAGTAAACTATTTAATGCTTTGGGATAACTTAAGACAGAAATTGGATAATTCAGGACAGAAATAAGGGACATAATTTCTGATATCCCTATGGATGGACAGATAGCATTGAGTACTAAGCAAGCTCCCTTGCAATATCTTGACAGAATGGAGACGACCCCAGACCTTAGTCATGACCCTGGGGGATATGGGAAAGACCCCACAGGTTGATATGATTAAATTTTCACCATCCCAGAAAAGGAAGCTGAAATAGAAATTATAGAAATTTTAGAAAAATAAAGTTCTATGTACTGAACATCTTGATTCTGTATACATATTAAGGCTTGTAATATGTATGTTTTTTAATATGCATGCATATGCCTATCTGCATGAATTCATGTATGTACATTTCTCTGACTAAATATTGGTAGGGAATACAGAACCCACTAGTGTTTAAAATTTGTATTTTACTAAAAAAAATGTTCCTGGGCATTTTCATATGAGTTTAAAATTGTCATTTTCTTGTTTTTATCAAAAAGGTAAAATATTCTTTTTATATACTACAGTTATTTTTAAATAAATCTTAGTAATGTCATTTGGGACACTGAAAGAATTGATATGGTGTATTTCTCCAAGGAGAAAATAATCCTTTACTGCAACTTCAAAACATTTTAAAGAGGTATTTCTAATCAATCTTGACCACATAAATAAGTAGAGGACAGACATTTGTGTTTTCAGGTGAAGAAAGTTGCACCCTAAAATGGTTAAATAACTATTGAAGTTGATGTAATGGGCCTTTGATAATGGAATGATCAAAATATTCTACATACTGTTTGACCTTGAGCATTAGAATGGATTGATTAATCCATGGCATAGTTTTACCATAATAAGCCATTTCTTCTTTGCTTTTTTTCATTGTCACTTTCTCTTCTGGTAAATAGACCCGCTTTTTTTTTTAATTAAGGTATTATTGATATACACTCTTATGAAGGTTTCACATGAATAAACAATGTGGTTCCTGCATTTACCCATATTATCAAGTTCCCACCCATAATCATCAGTGTAGTAAGATGCCACAGATTCACTATTTGCCTTCTCTGTGCTACACTGAAATATGACACACTTTTGAATCCCATCCATACAATAGATAAATTCCTTACTGTGGCAATTACATCTAAATATTCCTTTCTCTCCTGAAATCATGAGACTAATAAATTTTTCAAAACAATTAGCAGAAATGATTGTGTGTATGATTCTCAAGACCCTGACACACACATATCACAACTAGAGCTACAACCTAAACCTCTTAAGTGAATCCTTTACCTGGTCAAGTTCAAGGCTTTGTGTGCTTCCTGCAGGTTGGTTTGGATTCCTGCCAAAGGACTTTCCCATCTTAATTTATTCTATAATTTACTATTTACATGGGTATCTCCCTCCTTGGACTATAAGCTCCTTGAGGGCAGTAAGCATCATATCATCTTTATATGCCCTTCAGGACCCAGCACAGCTTTGTGCAGGACTGACCTATAACAAGCATGCACTGAATTAAAATAATGTCAATATGATCCAAAAAGAGATTTTGTTTACCCAAGGTCTCACTTTCCAGTGATTTATTTAGGTAGACAGAAAGCAGTCCAGCCAAGAATTGGCACTTACAGCAGCTGTGAAAAGCTTCATGCTACCTATTCATGTTTTCCTCTCTGCTGCCCGTCATGCATCTTAAATGACTGCAGTGCCAAGACTCTGATGGAGTGTCCTTGCCATTAGCCTATGGCCATCTGTCCTGCCAGGCTGTGAATGGAGGCAGGTTGAGGGATCCAGGCAGGGAGCCAGAACCAAGAAATTGGGAAACAGACAAAACACGAGGGTCACGACAGGCTTGGTCAAAAGTCATTAAACAAAAGTTGAAAGGGCACCGAAAGCAGACAGAGAATGGCAAAAGGTCCGACAGTAAGCAAATGGGAAATCAGCAAAAGTTGAAGGTCAGCCCAAAGTAGAGGGTTGTTATTCCCAAATTTGGTTACATACCCAGATGCAGAGATAAGCTGACAGAATTCAAAAGGGTATGTTGTATAACTTTACATAACAGTCCCATGACCAAACCTACTAGGTCACATTGAACCAAAGTGTTTTTTTAATAAATCTTGTCATATGAGAAGCACAACTATATTGCACTATTGTCTGATAAGATGCTAATTTATTAAATGTAAACATTTTAAATAGGCCACAATTTTTGCTAACCTATTTTGGATTTTCTTCTCTTTTGTAACACATCAGTAGCTTCAAAAAGTTTAAGAGATGAGTTGACTTAAAGGGTACTTAAGAGAGCTTATTCTATACATAGCTCTTATCATGTTGACAGAAATCCAAGCAAACAAGAATTCAGCCATCCCCTACCTCATCAAGACCACGTCTAATCTCCTTACCCTGGTTTTTAAGGACCTTCACTACCTGGCTCCAACCTACTTTTTCAACCTTAACTCAGACTATTAGTAAAGAAACAGTTAATTCCTCCCCAGGTCCCTTCCCCTGTGGTAGAAATAAAGAAGAGGCCGGTAGTTTCACGAGCCCTGGGTAAGTCTAAGCCTTCTCCAGCATCCCCCTCACCATTGGCAAGAATAAAGAGGGGCCTTGAACTCTGTGTCTGCCTGGCAAGACCTCCACCCTCTCCTCTCCCGGCCACACTCACAGGTTTGCCACCACCATCTGCCTTGAGACCTTTGGGGTCCATCTCCCCTTGCCCTGTATGCTTCTGCACATACATCAGAGAAGCCAGTTCAGACCTCCGACTAAACTCATCCCTAAAATCATAATATCCTCCCCCATCATACTGCCCTCCCCCTTTCCTGATTTTTCCCTATCATATTTAACATAAGCTATATTCCTCTTATCATATGGCTATCTGTCTTTCTCTACTTGAATGCAGCCTCTATGAGGACAGGAATTTCTGTTTGTTTGCTTTCCTGTAGTATCCTCTGTGCCAAGAACAGAACTTGGGACATAATAGGCACACAGAAAATATTTATCTAATGAATGAGTGAAAAAAATGTATTTGGACAGTCTGCTCTACATCCTGGATACAAGCACATATACCGTTCCACCACTCTGTTCAAACAGTTCCTGATGCTTCAGTTGGGGGCCCTCCCTTGTTCCTGTTTCCCTCTGCAGATCTGACATGGCAAGAGCAATCTATAATCCGTTCTCCTCTGGGAAGATTTCTCAATCCGTTCCAGCCCACAGGTATCTTGTCCTCCTCTGACCTGACACAGTACTTACTGTCATTTAGCCATTAATTGTCACCTAGCCTGTGCCATCTTGGCACAATTATGTAAAACCGCTATTCATATCTTTTGTGGTTATTTAATTTTTCATCTAAACTAAGTTGTAAAGTAGTAAGAGCAGGAATCTTAATTTTATCCTTCCTTATTTGCCTGCAAAACCTTCCACAGAACAGGAGTTCATCAGATTACTGGTAAATAAATGATTGAACTATTTTATGACTGAGCAGGAGAAGCAAGTACAATGTTCAGTTATCTGTTTCAAAGGATGAGATTGGAGCTTCTTTTTGTTTGTTGTTAACCTTTAAAAAAAACAGAATAATACATGTGAAAGTTTTTTAGAAACTGTGTTATAAATTAAAACAATAGAGCCAGTGTGAAAGTAGCCTGCAAAGACTTACTGACTCCAGCGGACCCTGTCTAGCCAATATCAGTGCACCCCTTCTGCTGGCAAACCCTCACCTAATTCAGGTGTCCACTAGGCACAGTTATGTGCTTTAGGGAACTTATGCAAGTTTCATCCCAAGGGCTTGGTTTCTGAATGCTCTAAGCTAACTAAGGGTCCCACTGTCCTTACCATCAGTTGATTTGGTCCCACTGTCCTTGCCATCAGTTGATTTAGTCATTTGACGAAGTTCTGGGAATTTGAGGTAATTCTAACCAATGAGAAGTGACGCAAAGTCTCTCACGGGACTTATGGCAAGATTCCTAAACCTTCAGAAAAAAAGACAAAAGCACAGCTTCAGAAAAGAGAAAAATACACAGACATATGACTGTATATATTGACAAGTCTGAGCTGTGCACTAAAAAAGGTGAAATTTATTGTATGTAAATGATACCTCAATAAACAACTTATTAAACTTAATAAAATATGGCCTAGGAAAAATAAAAATAATTTTATCATATAAAAAGTATTATAGTATTCATATTATGTTCCTCCCCATTGGTGTATCTGTGCCTATGTTGCTTCCAGTATCTATAGAGTAAAGCATATTCTTCTCATGCATCATCCCCATTCCAGCTCCCCTTGCCACTCTGATCTGTCTTCTCTGAACTCCTGTTGCACTGAAACTCACAGTCTGACTCCTTCATGACATGGAATTTGAGCTTGCTGAGTCAGATACCAGCCAAGAGAGGAGGAGGGATTTAGGGGCAGGACTGTGTTCAAAGGGTGACCAGTTCAAAACTTTAAATCCAGCTGGACTGGTTTTAAAGTCCAGGGCTGACAGCCAATTGCTATTGCTCAGCATCAAAATGTTTCTGTGTATATCAGAATTCCTCCCCACTATCTCTTTACTTGGATAAACTATGTAAAAAAGCACAAAGGGTTAAAGTGCAGACTCCACAAGCCCCAAGGGAATATAGACCTATTTTTCAGATGTTGTACTTCTCTGTAATAAGTAGGAGGAAAAAAAATTTCTTTTAGTTCTGTGTATACTTAAAACACAGAATCCATACTTGCCTGGAGCAAGTGATCTAAACCAGGAACCATGCATTCCTGGGCCATCTCTGGGATACTCACAGCCCTTGAGCTTGAAGTACAAGACTGCCAGCAGCATCCCCTGCCTTAACTGAAACCTGGCTCTCAGGGTGCCACATCCTCTATGACCCTCTCAAGGGTACCCCTTTATCTCTCATACCTTATGTACTTCAAGATCCGTAGCTGTGGTTGGTGTCTTCATAGCTGCTTCCAGAACCATACTACTTCTCTTGAAAAATAAGCCATGTTCTTTCAAAGAACATGAGTTCCACCCTCTCTCCGTCCTCCTTATCATATCTAAAAACTGCACCGCATACCCTCTCGTTTGTCAGCATGTTTGGCTCCTGATTCACCTCTTCCTCTCCACTCTAAATCCTGCTATCAGTGACCCAAAATGACACCCAGCCAGCCCAAAAACCGACTGCTGGTTGTTTACACTCAGCAGATAAATTGGGCAACGTGATAGACTGAATTACCTCCTATACCTCCTAGTCCTAAATCCCATCCTATCTCTTCACCAGCCTATAATACTCTGGGGAAACCACTTGGAGGAGGAGGGAGACTTGCATAATAATAGAATATGGGGAACACTAAATGATATGACGCTCTCTAGAAGCCTCCATGGGGATGATTTGTTCCAAAAATGTTATGGCTCCTTTTATAATTTAAAGATTGAGTATACAATTAGTACATTTTAGTGTGAGAATGTTGAACAATTACAGGCAAAGAGAATAAAAAAATCAAAATGTCCCATAATTTCACCAACCAGAGAAAATCTCTATTAAAATTTTAGTGAATGTCTCTTCCCAGACGTCCCCTTCTAAACATCTAATTTTTCTTTTTAATGCAACAACTTAGTGAACCTATATTTTTGTAACCTGGTTTTTACATTTAAAATAAGATGAATATCATTCTAAATTAAAAAACATTTTATGGCATCACTTTCAATTTTATACCATAATTTATTTAAGTTATTCATAAATGTTGGCCATTTAGCTCATCTAGTTTTTTGTTATTATAAACAGAAGAAAACAAATACCTTTGTAATTAGATCTTCATGCACATTACTTCTACATTCTTAATTTCCTTACAATAAATTCCTATAAATAGAATTTCTGAGTTAAAGAATTTGTAATGTTACATATATATTAATATCTAAGCATGTTTTAGACAGAACATCTAAGATCCATGAATAACTACCTCTTTTTACATTTTCTTAGACTATTATCTAACAGAATTCCCTAAGTGACATCAACAAGTAAGCATCTATCAGTATTAGTATGAAATATTTTTGTTTATGTATTCATTCATAAAGTTGCTGGCCTTTCTCACATCATTCAACAAACATTTATCTAAAACCTACTGGGTGCTGGGCCCTGTGCCAGATGCTAGGGATAGGAAGTCAGTAAGACACATGGAGTAATGATTATAGTGCAATTCAATACACTTTTTTTCCTCCACGGGATTACAGTGGAAGGTAAACTGGCCTGCCTATGTTTGTCAATAATAGCTTCACAATGTCAAGAGATGATGTCTGAATTAGTCTTTGGGAGCTCACTGGGTGGCACAGGTAGCCTAGGTGATCCAGAAAGGGAAGAACACTACAGACGAAGAAAAAAAATGTACAAAATAACAGAAGCATAAAAAATACATCATTTTGTGTCACTGGACAATATATAACTAGGACCTTACCTAAAACCTAATAAATACCAAAAATGTTTGTTGGTCGTAAGGAAGTTCCACATGGAGACTGTATGACTGGTCACATCCCTAATGTTGCTAATTCATTATTGTTCTTTGTTTATTTTTCATTAACCTTCTGTAGTCCTATTAATTCTGAATAAACTCAGTTCTATTTTTGTTTGTGCCAAGGAATTAATGTTTGTCTTAGTCACAAGAAAATTCCTCCCCACTATCTCTTTACTTGGATAAACTCTGTAAAAAAGCACAAAGAGTTAAAGTGCAGACCCCACCAAGCCCCAAGGGAATATAGACCTATTTTTCAGATGTACTTCTCTGTAATAAGTAGGAGGAAAAAAAAATGTCTTTTAGTTCTGTGTATACTTAAAACACAGAATCCATACAGGATAGTTTTTTCTTACTAAACGTTGTCTAAAATGTGTTATTACACCAGAGAACACAATTTTTTCCTACACACCAACTACAGGCTGCAGAAGTAGATGTCTCCACTTGCATACAGCTTTAGAGTGCTCAAAGCACTTTTACACATTTCTCATTTGAGCCTCAAACAATCTTGGAAAGTCTTGAGACTCAAAACGACCATGGAATATTATCCTTATTTTTTCAGAGAAGCAAACCAAAGCTGAAAATAAGCAGCTTTACCCAAACTTACATAATTATTATGACTAAAACATGCTTCTCAAAAGTCAGTTTAGCCATCTTCTAGTCTAGGAAGCCTTCTGAAAAGTCAGCCAAGACTGGACATACCGTCCTTCCCCTGGGCTCCCACTACCCCAATATTTGTTCCCACCAAAGCACTCATTTAACAAGTGCTTCTCTGTGTGCATGGAAATCCCCTGGGAACCTTGTTAAAATGCAGATTATGATTCCATTGATTTGGAGGTGGGGCTGAGATTCTGTATTTCTGAGAATCAGGCTCCTGAATGATGTTGAATAGAAGGCATTCCAGGTTGGTGGGGGGTTTTGCTTTTTTTGTTTTTTTTCATTCTCCTGCATACCACTGTAAGTTCCATAAGGCCATACACTAAGCATTATTAATCACAGTATTCCTAGAATTTAGTTCAAGATTTGACAGGCTATGAAAGTCTCAGTACATATGAAATGAATTAATGAATGAGTGAATGAACAAATAAATGAAATCCATACTTTCCAGCCTAGAGTTGTTTCCACTGTATCAGGCTGTCTCTCAAAAACATGGGCCAGGGATGCCTTTCCCTTTTAACTATCACATTCATTAAGGTAAACTTCAGCTTTCTTAAGGAAACCCATTGTCTCAGGGGTGAAAGACGTTGAAGAGCTGTTTTTCTTGCTCACCTCTTGGGGTAGAGGGAAGGTAGGGAGTGCTCCACTCTACTCCTTCCAAATCTAAGTGGATAGCGGCTGTATGCCAACTACAAGTGTGAGACTTTCAAGGTCACTTGTAGAATTAATATTCAATTGGTACATGAGGCCTGGAAATACCCATCACTTCTGCCTCTGTTCCAAGAGAATCTGGGAAATATAACCATTGCCTGGGTAGTCACTTTCTTACAACAATATGGTAAAGAAGAGAGCAGGAATCAGGGAAACACAGCCCCTATGACTATGTGCTGTTCTCTAATGGCATCCCACACTTTCTGGGGCTTCAAGGCCAAACCCACGATTTTCCCTTTTCCTGGGTTTCCTGTGCTCAGACAAGCTCCATCTGTTCATCCCTCAGTGCACATCTTAAAAGATATTTTGACGTAGTTTTTCCAGGTCTCCCAAACAAATAATGTTATCTCTTTTTTTGAATCTTCTTAATGCTTTGTACTTTTCTAATAATCTCTGACTCATCCTGCCATTTCGGTTGCCGGTGTACTTATAAGTTCCCAAAGAGCAGGAACTATACCTGAGTCATCTTGGTAGCTCTCTCAGCATCTCACAGAAAACCTTACTTATAGCAGTAAATCAACAAACAGTGGCATTTCTAAGTTGCACTGAAAAAACACATGTAATAAATGTGAAAAGCTCATTCAGTGACAACTTGCTCTATGTTGTTCACTGGAGGAGACAGCTATAACTCCAGACCTGAAGGAGAGTAGAGCTACCGTTGCTCAAAAGCCACAAATACAGCTAGAGCCATGGCATAGAGTGAAATATTTCTGATTCATAGACTTCCACTGAGCAACACTGCATTTTATACACTTCTTCTTTAATGGTTTGGACGTAGAGTTCTTAACATCACACGGAGACTCATAACCTTCAGAATACAGCATGAATCAGCTGGCTGCACTGCAAAGAGAATATAAAATGCCATCAAGAATGTCCTAACTGGAACAGTAAACTTTTAAAGTACAAACAACTCATCTGTTAGTAGCCTGGCTTTTGGCTGTCTGGAAAGTAAATACCTTAGAAAGATATCTTTAAAGAGATTCTATTACCTGTATTAAGTCCATATTTTCAAGCATGAGACTGTCATAGATCCAGGTAAGAGGTGCTGTGACCTGGCCTTTTCCCAGTAGACACTGCTCAAGCAATCCCCTGGTCTTAACATGAAGAGTTTCTAATCACCAGTCCTTGAATCTGTAAAAACTTCCTTAGGCTAAACCAGATTATTCCTCACTTACCCAGGTTATAGGGCACGGATTCTTGGAAATCCAATCTATAGAAGAACATCATTAAAAACATTAATCTGGAAACAAATTATGTTCCCCATTATCTTACCCTTTTTGTTTTATCAAAACATTGCCTATGTGGTCTGGTTTGCTAAAGGATGGTCCAGAGAACCCAGTGTTCAAGCTTAACAGTCCACCAGAGAAGCAGTTCCTGCTCTGTCTTGAGGAAAGCTGTTGCTTTTCATCCGAGGCCTGGAATGAGCAGCTTTCTGCAATTAAAAGTTTTCAAGGTGCAGGCAGCTACCTTAAAAGGGAGCAGATAAGGCAATGTGGATTAAAGTGGTAGGAAAGGATCCTCTTCATTCCTTACACTTCCCTGTTCCTTCTCCAACTGTCCCCCACACAGAGGGCAAGGAAAGATGGAAGAAAGAAGCACAGGAGTACAGACTGGTGGGGGGCAGTCTTAATAAGGGAACCCATGTGCCAGGCTTGCCCTGGTGGCTAAAAGATGAATAGATCTCGGCACCCACCTGCCAAAATCTTAAAAGTTGATATAGAGGCTCTACCTGGCTTCAGTTACGTATACCTCCAAGTGGTCTCAACAACACTTTATTCTCCCGAGGGCTCTAAGTCCTTGAAAACAGTTCCCTCTGTGGGAATGGAGGGCAGAATGTCCATCTCAAGGATGAGAAGGAGGGTGAGGACCTTCTGATTTCCTGGGTCCAGCTCGTAAGTCAGCTGGTGGTCACGTCCTCTCCATGACCTTTTGTACCACCCCACCCCTTGATGGGCTCTTACAACCTCACACACCCTCATCTCCCTCAGTCCGCCCTGTGAGGTCAGCGAGGGACTTCATTTGCATGCAGGCAGCTGGCTTAGCGGCTCTCTGGCAGCACCGGAGTCAGACACCACAGCAACAATACAGGCACATGCAAGAAAAACAGATGAAAACCATGATTCCAAAGTATAACATTTTTTCCCACCAGAATCTCCATGATATGAGCCACAGATTTATTAAATCCCTGAGGCTGAGTGAGAGATTGAAAAGGATTGTATCACATGGTGCACTTGGTGGATAAAA